TTAGATTTGTATGAGTTATTCTACAAATGAAGTGTATGAATAATTTAAAGTGATTATATGTGAAAAGTATGCATACATTCACTGTTTAAAATCAGTGTAGCTACACATATTACACAATATTTCAATAGTGGAGCAAAAAATTCTTTAAATTTATGTTGATGGCAGGCCCAGAGTCATATCTAGAGACTTATAAGTGAATTCTTTTGATTTGGAAGAAACCACCAAGCAACTGTATATCTGTTAATATAGTGCTAAGTTTTAAGATACCTTACTGAAATTTATAGAGATTTGATAAACTGTATAAGAAATGTATCTCACCCGGTCTGTCAATGAAGTCACAGTGGCTCAGGCCAGCAATTTCCATGCGCTTCAGGAAGAGCACGGTGGAAGTAATGTCAGACTCAAGAATATGAGGGATGTTCTCAGCAGGAAGTGGCGTGTCCTCTTGATACAAACAGAAACATTTGCCTGCAGAAATAAAACATTTCAGGCATATGATTCAATGCATGGCAAAAATTTTAAGAAACACTTTTATTTCAAGTAAACAAACTTGAAATAAAAAAAGTAAGACTTTTTAAATGTTTTTGACTATGTTCACCAAGACTGCATTTATTTGGTCAAAAATTCAGTACAATTAATAATATTGTGAAATATTATTGCAATTTTAATGTTATAAAATGTTATTTATTCCTGTGATGGGAAAGCTGAATTTTCAGCATCATTACTCCAGTCTTCAGTGTCACATGATCCTTCAGAATCACTCTAATATGCTGATTTGCTGCTCAAGAAACATTTCCAATTATTATCAATGTTGAAAACAGTTGTGTTGCTTGATATTTTTTGTAGAAAAACATGATACATGGTTTTTCTTTGATGAACTGAAAGTTCAAAAGAACATCATTTATTTGAAATAGATTTTTTTGTAATATTATGAATGTCTTTGCTGACACTTTTGATCAATTTAATGTATCTTAGCCGAATAAAAGTATTAATTGCTTTCAAGAAAAAAAAATCTGACCCCAAACCTTTGAACGGCAATGTGTGTAATTATTTTATTTATTTTAAGATGTATTAAAATTAATTATGTCTTTATTTTTGTATTTTAGAAAGCAAAAAGTGCTCACCTGTTGGGCCTGCAAGTTGTTTGCGGCTCTCAGCTTGGCTCTTGCTGATTGGTCGAATAACAATGGAATTGGCCCTGATTCTAGGATTGTACACCTGTCACAATAAAACAACACTGCGTCATGCCCACCAATCAAAATGTATACAGTATATAACACAGAGCTCATAATAAAGAATAGTCTGTAAAGTTTAAAATAAAAACTAAATCATTACATACATATCTTTTTTGCACTCCAGCATCAATCACAAAGCGAATGCTGTGAACGGCCCAGAACAAGTCTTCACTGGGGCTGCAGGTGAGGAAGACTCTCCTACTCTTGCTCCCTTCAGAGAGCACTGAGAGACTGTCTCCTTGCGCAGGGCACAGAGACACAGGCACCAGCTCACCATGAGACAATGCAAGATTGGCACCCTCTCGCCGCAAAATGGCATGGGCACATTCAATCTCCTTGAAAACGAGAAGAGAAAGAGAAGTTTCTTTTACCATGGAAATGGGACTGTTTTCTGTTCTATGCAAGATTCCTTGAAGGAAGGCAGAGTGACATTTATGGAGGGTGACCATACATGCTCTTTTTACCGGACACATCCTGGCCAGGATTTCTATATTGCCTAAAATATCCAGGTTTTGGCTTTGTTTTCCTGTTTTCATACTTGCTGAAGGTAAGGTGTGTTCAACTTGAAGCGGCTTTGCGCAGAACAATTGCGTATGACATCAAAGTACTGCGAGAGCGATTCGAAAGCATAAGGAGCCGTCTCCTCTCTATAGCTCTCACGGTACTTTGATGTCATACACTGATCATTCTGCGAAGTGCAAACAAAGCCAAAGCCTGGATATTTTAGGCTATAAAGAAATCCTGGCCAGGAAGTGTCCGGGAAAAACGGCACGTATAGTCACCCTACATTTAGTTATAAAACTAAGCATCCATTAAAATATTGATCTGCCCATTGCTTGGGCTCACAGAGGTTGAGATGGTAATAAAAAATAAAAAAAACCCATCAGATTAAGACTGTAAAACTACAACTGAGACTGAGTCCTTCAGTCTGTAAAGCTGAGAGTACTTCAAGTCTGTTTACACCTAACAGGAAATTATCAACTTTTAAATAATTATAAATGATTTTTTTATGGGTTAATGAATTCAATAAATTGAATAATTAAATGTATAAATATGGAAATTAAATTGTAATACATTTAAAAGATAAAATATACATATATTAGTGCTGTCAAACGATTAATATCATCCAAAATAAAAGTTTTTGTTTTCAAAATATGTGTGTACTGTATATATTTATTATGTATATATAACATGCATGTATATATTTAAGAAATTTTTTTTGTTTATATATAAAATATTAATATTTATATATAATATAAATTATATATATATATACATGTAAATATTTTTAAAATATATACATGTATGTTTGTTTATTTATATATACATCATAAATCTACACAGTACACACATATATTTTGTAAACAAAAACGTTTTTGGATTTTGGATGTGATTAATCGTTTGACAGCACTAACATATATACAAATATACATTATAAAAGATAAAAATATGGAATCTGACTAATTACTATATTATTGTAGATATATTATTATCAATATATTATAGATATATCATTATATATATATATATATATATATATAACATTACATAACAATTAATACATTTAAATGCAAATCAGCATCTATGTAATACATAAAATGCTATATATATAAAATACTGTAATATATAATATAATTTTAGATGCGAGTTCTTCGGTCTGTAAAGTACTGAGAGTACTATATGTCTGTTTACACACATAAAGCAAACAGGAGATTATATATTTAATTATAATTAAATATCCACTTATAAATAATTGTTTATTGTTTTATGTATTAATAAATTAAATGTAATAATTTACTTTATAAAAAGTAATATTAACAATAAATACTAATTATAAAAACAACTTATAGTTTACTTATATTATTTTATATTATATGTAAAGAATGTCATTTATTTGTTCATTAATAAAATTATTTGTGAATAATAAATATTTTAAAAATGTCAACAAAATGTAAACAATTACAAAAGTTTAGCACTAGCTCACCTATTAAAGTTGAAATGTCTCTTACTTGCTCAGTTGCCAGAAATGTCACAATGTCTCCATGCTTTTGATTCTGATGTATCTCCAGAGCCAGTCTAAGGGCAGAGCAGAGGTAATCCTTCACACCTCCTCTCCCACTGCCGTAC